CCCGGAGTGCCTGGAGACATTTTAGGTTCTCACCACTGGAGGTTGGTGCTACAGGGTCCTAGTGGGTGTAGTCAAGGTATGTTGCTGGGAAGATCTTATAACACAAAACAGCCGCCCCCACAACCAAGAATTAGCCAAACCCTAAAAGCCAATAGTGGTCAGGATGTCAAATCCTAGACTTGAAAATGTCTCAGACTTATTTTGTATTGTGTTCAACCCCAAACCTACTTGGCAAAGGATATTCCAGTCCAATAGATGGGGCATACCGAAATGTTCCCATGGAGCTCCACACTCCCTCCTTCCCCCATCTTCTGTGTCAGTATAGCAGAGGAATCTGGACCCCAAAGTACTGTAGTTTCTTTTCTGCGCAGGTCCACTTGGCCAGCTTTGGCACCAGAGTGGCTGAGTCAGGACCCCGAGCTTCCTGAGTCCTCTCCACCATATTCTAGCTCAATTGTAGGGCTCGGGTCACCATGGTAGACTGTCCCTGCCATTTAGGGTATATTTCTGTCCCTCGCTGCAACCTGGCTTCTATGGACTGTCCCTCCATTCCACATCATCAGATATATTTGCATATGACTGACCACAGTGGATGATTAGGGTTCCACTGTTTGAGGGGGGCACCCCAGGTCCTGTACAAATTAGCTGATACAAAGCGCCAGTAGGGGAAAGGACATGTTTCAATTTTTCCAGGCACAGATCTCCATCTTGTTGTGAATAGGAAGTTGTCTGATTTCTGATTTCTCTGGTAAGAAGTCAATATACCTTTATCATGCACGTTTGTGTGTGATGTTGGGAGGATATTTATTGTCTGTGGAGGGCTTAGGTTACACTGGCTCAAATCTATTCTATCTAACTTCAAAGTCTTTTTAATTGCTACTCAGAGGTGTGGACTGCCCAGCTAAAGGACTCAGGAAGATTATCTGGTTTCATGTGTGCAAAGAATAAGGGAGGTCCAGAGAGGGATGTGACTCAGCCCAGCTCCCTCCTCCCACCTGGTGTTGGTTCTGGGCTGGAACCCAGTGGGGGCTCAGATGCCTGACAACATTCTCTGGGCCAAGGTACATAAGAACCTTGTGACCTGGGGATGTGAGGACAGCTGGACAAACAGTTTGGGGGCTCAAAGACCAGTCTCCTGCCAGGCCAGTGCCCTTGTGGGGGAGTATGTGGAGTGCTGAGGACAGTGGGGGAGGTGGGGGGCCCCCCATGAGCACTGTCCCTCTGAGCCTGTGCCCAACCCCACCTTGGAGAAAAACTCCCTCTCCAATGCCTCCCTCCCTAGACCAGTTCCAACCTGGCTGTGTCTGGAAAAGGCTCAGCTGGAAACTCCAGAGACTGACTTGTGTTTGGCTCCAGGGATCATCTGGTTAAAGGGGATTCCTCACTAGCCTCCGTGCTCGGACAGTTTCTGGATGGAAGTGCATCCATGGAGAGTGACTGCGGAGCCGGGAACTCTCCTGAAGGGACATTCTTTCTGGGTCATTCAACACTCAGATTTGTACTTCCCTGTGTTGACTGTTATGTGGGCTGAAGTTCTGGCCATGCTCACTGAGAAGGGGTCAAATCTGGGGCTTCTGATTGGCTAAGAGCCACAGAGTCACACACCATCAGAGCTGGATGCCACGCAGGTGACAGCTCCTCACTGAGCGGACAAGGAGGCCGAAGGCCAGAGTAGCAGAGACGTGTCTGTGATCAGCAAGTGGAGCAACTCAGCCCTCTGATTCCAGCGCTCCTACAGTCTTAGCCATCATCACGTATCTGGGTTCTCTGCGATAACCTGATTTTGCATATTTTTATGCTGTAAAGTAGATTTAAATGACCGATGACATGTGGTTTTGATTTTTATTATTTTGTGCGACTTTTCACATAATTTACACATCAAAGAAAATATTCTTGCTCAGGTCATATGCCCTAAGTGTGTGTTGGGAATGACCGAGGTGATGAGAAGACTGACTGATTCTAGCCAAGCCCTTAGCAACATTCTCAGCAAGGAACCAAAGTGTGAGTTTTATGCCTTGTGGCCTGGTTTTTCTGGTCGATGGATGGGGCAGAAATTAGAAATTTATCCAAAGATTTCCAGTTGAAGGCTAGAGTCAGGCCAGGAAACAACGAGATGGCTCAGCATGAGACCAGAGGGTCTCAGGCCTGCTTGCCAAGAGCTGCTCAGATGGGCAGTGATTCACTATAAGCCAGTGGGAATCCAGCTCAGGGCAGAGGGGAGGGGGGAGGGGAAGCGGGAGGAGCTGGAGATGCAGAGGAACAGCAGTGATGGAGAGGGTGGGAATCAGAGTGGGGTCAGTGCCCTCTCACCAGCACCCCAGTCCCTCAGGAATCTTGAGTAGGTGACCATGGAGTGATTCTCTGGGCATCTGCTCTTCCCTTCCAGTGTATCCTTGCAATAAACACCCTGAGACAGCACCGGACGATTATGGTCAGGGCCTCTTGGGAGCCACCCAGAATTCCAGGCAACTGGAAGGTGGGAGTGGGGTTGAGGGAACCAGTGTCCCTCATTGCCCTCATTGTTCTCCCTCCAGACTGAGATGGTGAAGTGAAGGGGAGGCACTGTTGACCCCGTTGTCCACACACAGCAGGCCAAGCACAGAGGCGTGGGATGGGGAGAAGTCAAGTGTTGGCCTGTGAAGGGCAAAGGTCAGAGAATTGGGGTGCAATCTAGTTGCTGAAGGAAGGAGGCTGGATTTCCACATGTAAACCAGAGGGTCTCAGGCCTGAAGCCAACAAGGCAGTTGGGGTCTGATCACAAGAGGCCGCATTACAGAGTGTAGCTTCATCAAATTAGGAAGTACTGAAAGTTCAAAGCTGTGTGGCCTCTTTCGTGTTTGTCGATCTCCTCAAGCATCTAAGTTGAATAAGACGTTAGAGTAATTAGCTCTGACTGATGCCCAAAGCCCTGGCACGGGTCTCAGTTGTCCTGGATGGAAGCTTCTAGTCATGAATGCTCAAGTTCAGCCAGACCAAACTGACATATGCTGTTAGGCTAAAGTGTACACCAAGTTTTGAAGACTTACTATGAATTTAAAAGTTATAAAAGATTTCATTAATAAGTTTTATACTGGTTGCATGTTGAAATAATAAAATATGTTGAAATAATAAAATACTATTAAAATACATTATTATTGTATATAATTTTTTTTCATTAAAAAATAGCTACTAGGAAACCTTAAATTACAAATGTGGATTGGGTCACCTTTCCGTTGAACTGTCAGAGGATATCCTCTCTGGTCCTTGGGAAGAGTTCTGAAGGTCATTAGCAGTTAAGAGACAGGCTTTCGGGAATTGTTTAGTTATCAGGAACAGAAATCTTCATGTTTCACTTAAACAAAAAGGGAGTTTACTTGAAGAACTCAGGGATCTTTACTAGAACTGGGGTCAGAAAGTGCATTCAGAGATGATGAGGATCCTGGAATCCACTGCTGTCAATAATAATCTTCCATGCTCTTTTTACCTGGGCTCACCTTGTCTCCTGTTCTCCTGCTTCATTCTTTCCCCACAGCTGACTTGCTTACGCAGCTGGCTCAGGGCCAGCGTACTCAGCCACTGATTTGCCTTCTCAGGAGGAGGACTAAGAGAGGGACTAGACCTTCCACAACTCCATCCCAGCACGAGGGGAACAGTTATGAACAAGGTTTGGGTGAGCGCTCCCAGTCCTGTCAATCATGACCAGAGGTGTAGGGCCATGCAGCCGTCCATCTAGCAGGTTCTGGGGACCCTTGAGGGTCTCCAGAGTTAGACGGCAGCATCTACAGAAAACTCCAGTGGCGGCTCAGAGGGGCATAGGACCCACCTGTAGGCTAACGGCATCTTGTAAACCAAGGAGGAGGATGTGATAATAGAACCCTATTTTGGGAGTAATGGAGCAAGAGGAGGGTTGAAAAGCAAACAGTGGATTCAGCGCTGGGGTGGGGGGGACGGTGCATGTCCTTGTGGGAAGCAGCTTGGGGGAGCCAGTGTGGTGGGGGATGTATGAGGCTGAAAGGTGGAGGCAGGAGAGGCAGATAACCCCTTACGAAGCTTGGCTGTGAAGGGAAGACAGTGTGGTCCCCGGAGGGACAGAGGGCATCTGAGGGGGATTTGCTTGGTTTTGGTTGGCCTGAGTTTATTTAACTGGAAATGGGAGGAGCCAAGGAGAGGGAGTGGGGAGGACTGCTTGTTGTGGGGCACATAGAGCACCCATGGGACCTTCTGCTGTGAGCAGTGGGGACTCAGGAAACACGTGGCAGGCAGAGACAGAGAGCACCTTGCTCAGCTGCGGCTGCAGTTTTCTCAGTCAAGTAGGAGACAGAGCTGTCTGGTGGGTGCCAGCTTAGACATGGATGAGAGGCTGGGGGTGAGCAGGGCAGGAGGGTCAGGTTGGCTTGTGCAGCCACTCTGGGCTTGGCCAGCGGCTGCACATATCCTCTCTGGGGCATGTGGTGCACAGAGGGTGGTTCTGTTGTGGACCTGGCCATCGATGGCCTGTGTCCCTGCCCCAAGCAGTATGTCGAGGCCCAAACTCCTGATGTGATTGTAGCTGGATGCCGACCTTTGAGAGATAATGGGGTGAGATGAGGTCATTGGGGGCCCTCACGGTGGGATTAGTGTCTGTGTAAGAGACACCAGAACACGGGCACCCTCTCTCCGTGCCTGGTGAGGCACAGAAAAGGGGGTCCAGGAAGAGGGCCCTGGCTGGAAACGCAGTCAGCCAGCCCCTTGATCTTCTCAGAATCCAGGTCTCTGAGAAGAAAGGCTTGGGGCTTTGGCTACACGGTCCGTGGCTCGCTGTTAGGGCAGCCTGAGCTGACGTTCCCAGGCTGGGCATGCGCACACGCCAGTGTCCCGTAGCGCATGCGCACATTGGTCCAGGTTGCCTACTCTTGGGTACCCGCACCTGCACCTATCTGTACGCGCAGCAAGGAGACAGCCAGGTGCTCAGGCTCCCGCACCCACACAGTGGCCTGCCCCCTTCCGCTCCCACTTCCCGAGCAGCCTGACTGGAAGTCTTCACAGCTGTTTATTGAAACCTCCCATTGAAGGTAAGTGTGGGACAAGAAGGGGAAGTTGTCTTGTTAGGATTGAACCCCGGTGCCTGGGGAGCATCAGGGGAAGGGGCCGGGCCAACGGGGAAGGTGGTCAACAGGGAAGAGCTGGGCAGAGGAACGGAGGGACTTGGAGAGCAAGGGGGGAATCGGATATGGCAAGGCTTGTGGCTGTGAGGTTTGAAGTCCAGGTCTGGGTAGGGGGCTCAGCTGCTGGTAGAGATGCCTTCACTAAGTTCGCAGAAGATTTTCCGAGTCTTCTGGAGCACGGACCCACCCAGATCCTCCCAAAGTGCCTGTGGAGTCCAGAGGCAAGCAGGGACCTGGCTGAAATTAGTCTCTGGATGGTGGGGGAAAAGGGGCCCTGTTGCCCTCAGCGGGGGCTCGGGCCAGGTCCACAAGGCTGTAGAGCGATCCTCTGGGTTGCCTTTTCTGCTTCGGAATCTTGCTTGGGTTTCTTTGCCCACAGGGGCCTAGGGAAGGAAAGTTCAGGCAGAGACCTGCTCCTCCACCAGGAGCGGTTGGGGTGGGAGGCAGGGGCAGGTGACTGACCTGTTTTCTACATCTTCGATGGTCTCTGGCAAAGGCAGATTGAGGGTCTCAGGAAGGAAGAGGGCAGCACCACCCCCCAGAAGGGCGATGGTCCCGAAGATGATGTTGGGGATGAAGGGCTGCAGCTCCCCAGTGATTTTGACCAGTGGAGCCGTCATGCTTCCCACACGGGTCCACAGGTTGCTTATACCCAGACCTGTTTGCCTGGGACAATTCAGAACCGAGATGAGCAGTGTGTGCTGTGCGTGCACGTGGGCGTTTTCTCAAAGGACAGCTCTGGGCTTCCGGGACAGGAGGATGTCGCTATCCCATCAGCTGGGCTAGCACTTACCTGATGACGGTGGGATATAGCTCACTTGTGTAGAGGAAGAGGCAGCTGAAGGAGCTGGACAGGCACCCCTTCCCAAACACAGCCAGTACTGTTCTGAGGGTCTGCAAATCTGTAGAGGGAAGAAAATGCTGTGTACCTTGGGATTCTGGAACACCTGAGTCTTCTCAGTCCTCAGCAGATCTTATCTCCCTTTGTGCTTTGGCTGCTGGGAAACTCAGATTCAAACTTAAAGCCGAGTAATAGCCCCGCCGAGTCTTCTTAAAGCTTTGCAGGTTCATGTCCTACTCTGTGTTTCTCCCAGTATGTTACCTGTTCCCATTTATGTGTGGTTCTTGTCCCCAAATACCTCAGGCTTCTTCATGAGGATATAGGTGTATCAACACACAGACATCTATATAAAATAAACGCGTCTTTTCTGAAGCCCTACAGAGTCTTCTTTGAGCCCTGTGCTCTGGTACTACCACACTTTGCTGGTCTGAGCCGGATCTGGAAAGGTGTTTCCGTGTCATTTTTTTTCTAGATGTGATGAGACCTGAGCCCTTGACAGCACAAGGACCTGCTTAAGGTCCTTGAATCGGGGGCAGAGTTGACAGAGTCGACGGAACTGGAATCCTGGTTCTAGCCTGCAACATCTGAGATGCCCAAGGACCCACTGGTCTGCAGGGATGAGCCTCTTTCAGAGGGTTCTGGGGTAGCCCCAGCTCCTTACCCGCAGGCACAAAGATGAGAGCCAGGATGGAGCCTCCTGCCAGAAGCAGGGCAGTTCCCTGGGTGATGTGGCGGCCCAGGTGGCTCATCGAGAGGATGGTGATGAACTTTGCTGGGATGTCCACCCCTCCAAAGATGAGCTGGAGGAGGTAGAGGTTAACGCCAAATTCTGCCACACCCATAGCCAAACTGTAGTAGGCAAAACCGGTGGAAAACCTGAGGGGCAGATAGGGATTGACTGGCACCTTCAGGCAATGTGGGGCCTTTCCCCTACTGGTCATCTGGTCACCAGAGTGATGAAGAGCTTCATTTCTTGTCCCAACTACTGCTGACGACAGGGGTTTGAATGCCATTTCAAAGTCTCTGAGGTGGTGTGTGTGCTCAGTGAGAAAGAGCCACGGGTGTGGTCCAGAAAGTGGTGGGTAGTGTGCTGCACACTTCACTGCAGAGGCCTTCAGGGCTGGAGGGTCAGACTTGTGGAGCCCTTTAAAGCATCCCTGGGCCAGGATGGAGGAGGTTCTGTGACCAGAACCAGGTCACAGAAAAGGCTTTCTGCATGTGCTGGGGGATGCCAGGCAGAAGAGAAGTCTCAGTAGAAACCTGATTTCTCTTTCTGTCTGGCCCTGAGGAACAGCGTTGGTATGTGGATCCCACAGGGGAGAGCTGGTGTAGCGGGGTAGAGGCAGTGACAGAGAGGCACGGCGTGGGCAGAGACGTGAGCTGGTGGAAGGGCTTACTCTGTGGGTGGGCAGGCACGACTTAGGCGGTCCTGGGTGCCTGGGGAGGTGGACATGAGGACCATCTCCTCACATGGCAGGTTTCTGAGACTGGGGCTGGGCTGGAGAGGCCCAAAGGAGGGAGTTCATTATCTCCTCTTGCAGGCACCCTGATCTTGTCCTACGTGAGCCTGCTAGAGGCCTTGGTCATCACCCCTGCCTTGGTGGAGGTGCTGGGGTGTTGGGGTGGGTGGGTTACCAGGCCAGGGAAAGACAGAAGGTCACGCGGCGCAGGATGGGTGTCCGGAACAGGTCAGCTATGCTGTACTTGGCCTTGGATAAGGAGATCTCCTTCTGAAGGTTGAATTTGAGCTCCTTTGGCAGAGAAAGGAGAGGGGTGCCATTAGTGGCCAGCTCGTGGACAGAAAGAGGACAAGGGCTGGTCCCCTTGTGGGACTTGGCCTGTGACATCAGTTTGTGAGCAGGGAAACAGAGGCAAGAGGAAGGGACAGCCCGATAGTACAGCTCGGGGTCCCTGCCCCCAGATGACAGTCCCCCTGGGTCCCTACCTCCAGGCTGAGCTTTTCTCCCTCCTCCTTCTTGCCATTGAAGGTAGCTACCCACCGGAGAATCTTCAGGGCCTTCATAGACTTTCCAGACAGGACCATCCAGCGCACAGACTCTGGTATCCACCTGGGGCCAGAATCAAGTCACAGTGGCTCCCCCTAGCCCAGACGTCCTTTTGAGAGGGTGTGGGAGAAACCCCCTTCAGCCAGGTGAAAGGATGGGTGACCCAGAAACACCAGCTGCCTCACTGCAGATTTCATGGAATTTAAACTTGGCTGAGCTTTGCACCTGGGATGTCTGCAGCCAGCACAAATTCCAGCCTCTCTTCCCTCTGCCCCCTACTTGAGCTGCTTGTTATACTTGGGTGTCTTCCTTAGCTAGGAGCATTGGGCTCTAGGCCAAGGCAGGTGGGCTCGGGGCAGGGATGGCATGTTTGAGCCCTCATGTCCACCTCCCCAGGCTTCCTTGGGCTGCATTCAGGTCCTGGGTGAGGAAGGGCAGGACCACCCTCCCAGCAGGTGTGGGAAAGGGGCTACAGTTAGCCAGGGCTACGTTAGGGTTGTGGCTTAGAATGAGTGTGAGGACCCTTTGATTTTCCCTGCAAAGGACAGATTTTTCTGGGGTGTGAGCATTGCCTGGGTCTTGGGACCGGCTGGTGGGCCACTCTTCCCTCTTTTTCCCATCCCATACTTTGGGGGTTTCTCCTCCCTGAGCAGTACCTGAGGGTCACTAGGAGAAGGGGAATGGAGGGGTGGGGGAAAGGGTTGGTGCTTGGCAAAGACTGGCTGTGGCCCACAGGCACCCAGGTCCTGGCTTCCATGAGTTCTCAGAGTGGACACTGCTCACTGGCCAAATGGTGGTGCTGGCCTGCTGGACCAGTCGCTGCCCTCCCTCCTGGCCTTGGTCCCTGTGAGGGCCCGGATAGTCTCAGCCTGCTCTCTCCAAGACCATAGTGACTTTTCCCCAGTGCCACAGCCTGGCCTGGCACCTTCCTTCCTCCCTGTTGAGCCCTCCTGTGGGTCACTTTGGGTGATAGGCATCTCTCACCCCATTCTGCCTAGAGCATGATTGAGGGCCAGAGGGGTTGGGCTGTGCCCCAGACACCAGACACACATGAAGGGGCCCAAGTTGTCAACTGTAGTCAGCTGACGGCGGCCATCTTTCTGCTCCTGCCTGACTGTGGATGTACCCTCGCTCCTCCTGGACCCCTTGACTGTCTCTCTCACCCCAAGGTTGGCCTGCCCTGGAGGAGTTTCATTTCTGGTTGTCCATAACCTTGGGTGGGGTATCACACCTGAGCCTGGTCCCTTGTCTATGAATCGGGTGTGATCATGTCCCCCCCTAGAGAGGCCTCGAGGATCAGAGAGGAGTGGGCGGTACCCAGACTAGGGCTGGCACTGGGAGGGCTCCCCTCATTCTCTCTGCTCACCCACTGGGTGCTGGGCTTTCGCTCTGACCAGTGCTGGACCTGCTCCCTGTGGGGGATGAGCTCCTGACCGACTTGGGTCTCTGAGCAGGACACCTGGACTCTCTCAGGAACTCCTGTGGGGGCACCTCTTTCAGCTTCCCTGTCCTGGTACCTCAAAGCCAGGAGTCCCCAAACTGGGGTGATTTTGTTCCTTTGGACTTGTGCCATATGATCAATGCCCCAACCCCAATCTTTGGTATCCCCCAACTTGGGTCTGTCCTTCTGTGCTATTAACTCACAAACAGGACGTCTGTCAGGCCTTTTGGACTGATGCCATCAGAGGTATTTCCATCCCTCTATAGAAGTGGAGGCTGCCCGGCTCTGTGCCCGCCACCTGGAGCCTCTGCCTGGCTCAATCCTGACCACATCAACTGACCCCCACCATTTTCAGCTGAATGCCCAGACCCCTGTGGACTCCTGCGGCAATGCCCCAGCATGGAGCTCCTTCTTGACGCTGGGCCAGGAGGCTGCTGGGACACACAGCACTGGCCAGGCTGCTGGGTCCTGAGCTCCTGTCTGACCCTGCCCTGGTGGATATAAAGAGGGAGATGGAGAGGAGGGGCTACATACCAGGACAACAGGAAGAAGGCGAAGAATGGAGTGGACACAGTCAGCTGTAGCCAGCGCCACTGTGGAATGGCGTAGGCCAGGCCTGGCAGGATGAACTGGCCTATGGTGTAGAAGTAGCCGATGGCTGTGGACATGATGGCTCGCATCTTGGTGGACACCCACTCGACATCTGCAGGAGTTGCCCAATGGACAGATTAGGGTCATGCTGGGCCCCGGGAACCTCCCTGTGAAGGGGCGTCGGTCCTGACCCTGCAGGGTCAAGCTACTTGATCTGACCTCTGTCCTAAAGGCTCATCACCTTCATTTTACAGATACTGTACGAAGCTGGGACTGAAAACTGCTGACTCCCGAGCCCACACTCCTGACCGCCTCTCCAGTTGCCAGTGACTCCCACCCCCCGCCATGCTGGTCTGTGGATGGGCACAGTCATGTGGGTGGCCAAGCTCAGAGCCCACCCAGGAGTGAGGGGGTTCCTTGGCGTTGGTAACGGCTACTATTAGGCTGGCCGGTGTTGTTGTGTTCAGGGGGGCTCTGAGCTTCTGTGACCTTTGGGGTCCCAGGCCAAAGGAACCAGATCCCACTGTCTCTGATGCTCCCCAAATGCCTGCTCCCCTGCCCTCTCCCTCTGGGGCTCACTCAGGATCACGGTGCTCTGGGTAATGCCTGAGATGCCACAGCCGCACAGGAAGCGGAAGACCATGTAGACGGGCAAGGTGGGGCTGAAGGCGGCGCCTGAACCACTGGCCGCCAGCAGCAGGTAGCTAAACGTCAGGACGGGCTTGCGGCCAAACCTGCAGCTCAAGGAGAGGAGGAGCGGGTGAGCCGGGTGGTCAACCTGCAAGGCTGGTGATGGCAGGCCCAGGGCAAAGTGCTGGACTCCCACCTCGCGAAGAGCCGGAGCAGGCAGGTAATTCCCTCCCCAAACAGGGTTTTTCTGGCAATTGCTCTTTTCGACAAGTTTGCAATTAGAGCTTGAGTTAATGAGTGATCTCCTCCACCCCCAGCTTAGTTGCCTGAGCGGGTCAAAGAGCCACCAGGGCCAAGCAGTCCGTCTACCCCGCCGCCACGGCTTCACAGCCATTACGTGTGTCTCAGCCCGTGGGGCTCCCCCAGTACTGGGGAGGCCAGAAGACTCAGGGGCCAAGGCGTTGGCAGAGCGGGCTGGGACTCGCCCCAGGTGGCACCACAAAGACCATATGCCTCCCGCCTCCCCTTACTCCTTGGCCCTCGGGGGTGCGTGGGTGGAACAGAGGGCAGGGTTGTCTCCATGGGTTGTGTGTCCCCTCGGGAGGCCCCAGCATCTCACCGGTCAGACAGGTCTCCCAGCACGAGCCCCCCAACAAGTATGCCTGCCATGAAGATAGACTGGGCCATCTCTTTCAGTTTGTTGGAGCTGCAGACCAAGTCCCACTGCGTGAGAGAAAGGGAGGGCGGCTCAGCCCGGGCGGCTCAGTCTCTGCAGTGCCGGCTCACTCTCCCGACTGCTCTGGCGTGGCCTTCTTGACTCGGCTGGCAGTTCTTGGGCCCCTGGCAGGCCCTAGGGTACCACAGGCTCTCAAACTTGTGTGGCCACCACATGACTTCCAAAGTCTGCTCAGCTGTCACATCCAGGCCTGTCCTCAACTTCTCCAGGCTTGCCTGTATCCCGCGGCTCCACCCTGCCTCACAACACCCCAGGTGCAAGGTGAGTGCCTCTGCCTGCACCCTCTCCTCCCCTAAGGGGACGTTATTGCTGCAAACCACCTTCATCCCACACCCTCAGTCTTTCCTCCCTTCCCATCAGCCTCCGTGTGCGTTCAAAGCCTCATCTTAGGGCCTCTCTTTTCCTCTCAAAGCCGAATCTCCTGAATGGGGACCCGCACTGGCAGGAACTCTGTCCCCTCAATTCCACCCCAATCACTCTACTGACACTGGGCTCACCAGGGTCACCCTATGACCTTGTTTCCGCTAGCCCTGACAGTACGTCTGGATCAACCTAACTTGAAGTTGGAGCCCTCGACACTGCTGACCTCTCTCCATCTGTTCTTTCTCCTTTCCTTCCAATGGCTCCTCCTGTCTTTTTAGACTTTAAAGTTTCCCAAGGATCCCTCTTGGGTCTTCTTTTCTCCACTTTCCCCAGGAAATGCCACTGCTCAGGTGGCTGCAGGCCCCATTTGGTCAAAGATCCCAACCTTTTATCGTCAAGTCAACCCCTCTTCTGGCTTTCAGATCAACAGATCTGGCCACCTCCTTGCAATTTCCACCTGCCACGCGGGCATCTGAGACTTGTCACCCCACTCGCCATGAGGGCTCTGCCTTGGTGACTGGGAAAGCATTTTGGGCTCCTTCCTCCCACGTCACCCTCACTCAGTCCCCAGTTTCTAACGTGCCATCATTTCTTGAATCTGGATTCTTGTATTTTGGTTGCTGCTGTTTTAGTGAAGCTTCGGCAGCTTGCGAGGGGCCAGGGTCCGGCATCCGGTGAACACCACTCATGCAGGCACTGTTCTAGAAGCCTTTCCATGTTCCCTTTCAGCCCTCACAATCACCTGAGGGAGGGGTGCTCCCAGCACCCCTTCTTACAAAGAGGAGCCCTCCCAGTGCAGGCTTCCTGCCTCCACCCCACTCCCTCGGGCCTGCGCTTTCCCTGTTATCCTGAGTGGTTTTCTGAAATGCTGCTCAGCCCAGGCTCCTGTCTCATCCCAAGTGTTCCCCAGCTTTCTCTGGCTCTTTAGGTGGAGAAGGAGCCCTGTTAACACGGATGTGTGACGCCTCATGCTCTGGCCCCACCCACCGTCTGGCTTAATCTCCTAATCCTTAGCATGCACCCTGTGCCTGAATTACTTGTGTAATGAAGTGGAGATTTGATTAATCAGAAATGCCTCACAAAAATATCTGGAAGCAAAACTATGTGGGGGAGGAGCCCCACACCTGGTAGCTCTTCCCACTTTCTTCTGCTGGAAGTGAAGGGGTGGGGTAAAGGGGTATCCGGCGCCCTCACTCAGCATGGCCCTGTGTGGCCAGCAAGCCCAGGGAGCTCTTCTGGCCAGGAAAAGAAACTTCATGGTGGAGGTGGGGGCAGGGAAAGGGGAAAAAACAAAGTGAGGGGGCATGAAGGGGTGTTTGTTAGCGGCATCTAGAGGGACCTCGGGTCTTCTGTGGCCTGCTGTGGGAGTCCCTTTGGGAGCATAAAAGGAAACGCCTACTGTCCTACACTCCACGTCCCCTTTCCCCTTAGGAAATAACAATTTCCCAGGTGACCCTGGGGCTGCGTGGGACCATCTAGCTCTTGACAGTCGAATGGGAGTGGAAGAAATTCAGGCATTGATTCAGGGGGAGTCCTGACCTGGACCTGTGTGCTCTCCACCTTCCTGGAGGTGGGGAGGGAGGTAGCCCTGGGGCTGTGTGTCGCAGACAGCAAATGGCCACAGTGGCCCTGGAGGACAGAGTCACCCATCTGCCTGCACTGTTTACTTTGGAAATATTGTCTGAGGAAGAAGCCACTTCTGTATCCTTTAAGCCACGGATTATTGTTGGCCTTCTTGTGGTGACCAAGCCGACACTGACACATCCCACAGGAACTCACAAATGGAAAGCTGATTCCTGCCCCCTCCTTGCAAGATCAGTCTGCTTGGCTCGTGAGAGGGTCAAGGGCAGGTGTGAGGCCTGGCCCCACAAGCATGGGGTTTGTGGTAAACCAGCTATTGTAAGGCAGCTTCTACCAGAAAATAGAGCCAATTACAGAACATACCATTCCTGGAATGGACTTTGAGTCATAACTGTCCACTCGGCGCTGACTGCTCTGCCCCTCACCCTCTCAACCTCTACTCCCTTGGTCTCTTGCTGTTTCTTCAGGCAGCCTTAGAACTTTGGCATGAGGTGCTCTTGGCCTGGCATGCTCTACTTGATCCCTTGACTTGCCTCTTTACCTCCTGAGATCTTTGCACAGATGTTATCTTTTCCATCAGACTTTGCTCGACCACTTTATTTAAAGTGGTGACCCCAGCTGCCTGTCCCTCGACCCTACTTTATTCATTTCTCTATGGCATCTTTTTCTATGTATTTATTTTTGGTTTCTTCTCTAAGAAGGCGATCTTGATGAGGGTAAGTCTGTCTTGTTCACTACTGAACTTCCATTGCCTCGGTCAGTGCCCAGCACATAGTAGGTGAAACTCAATCAGTCCTGTGAAACTGGATGAGAGCACATCCCACAGAAAGTACAGAGCATGGGCGAGCCTTAGAGGTCAGTGATACACTGCTGTCTGAATGCAGTCATGTGACCACACTTGAAGTGTGCCGTGGAGGTCATGTGACAGCCAGATGGGCAGTGTCCAGGCAGTATATATCGGACACATAACCTTGTGTCAGCAAGGACTGGAAAAACTTCATGATCAGACTGGAAAACTTTCAGTGGTAAATTGTCTCCTGGAAAATGGTAAAATGAGGTTTTGAAATAGATCTTGGTGATTAAAATCTTGATTAAAAAAAAAAATCCCAGGAGGCCCTCCTTGGTGGCGCAAGGCTTAAGTCTCAGCACTATGAGGCTCTCCACAGCCACTGCAGCACAATTTTGATCCCCAGCCAGGGAGGGACCCCCAGGGCGCAGCAGACCTCTCCTGTCTCCCCGCTGCTCCCCTCAGCCGTGGATTGCAGTCTATCTGCCTGTTTCGTTTCCCACTCTTTCTGGTGAATCCTCTCATCCCTGGCCTGTACCCCAATTCTTGTATGCATAAACAAATAAAATCTTTAAAAAGATTTCCCAGGCTTCAGTTGCATTCTAAGTTGCTCCCAGAGATTTCATGGCCAAAGACATTCCTCTGTGCCAATGATAGCCAGAGAGCCAAGTTGCCTTGCAGATCAGTACAAAACTGTGGGGTTCAGGTTTTAGACACGCAACTATTCTGGGTTGAATTGTATCAACCGAAGTGACGCCACATACAGCCTTTGCCCCCAATCTCCTAGGTCATTGCGAGGCAGAGACTCCTGCCTGGGTCTCATTGTGGAGCCCCTCATCAGTGCTCTTGACCATGCTGCCTCATCCCCCACTATGTGCTTAGCTCTGAGTCCTGGGCTGCCGGAGGGAAGGCACTGAGCATGGACGCTGTGGGCCTCTGTGAGACGTGAGGTCCAGGGTGGGCTGGACTAGAGGCCACAGCCTCAGGGCCAGGCTTGTAGCAGGTCCAAAAGGCTTAGGAACTGGAAGAGCAGCAAGATCACAGGCCAGGAAGACCTCAGTGCAAGGCAGAAGCAGCGGTAAAAGGTCACGACCAGCAGGACAGGAGCCCCACTGAGTGTGAGGGGGCTGCCTCTGCCAGGGGACCCACCTCTTCTCCCCAGGCATGGACAAGGAAACAACCTCCCCTGATCCTTGGGTGTTTTAGGACCAAGTCAGATTTTGGGGAGAGAAGCCCAGCTTCTGTGTGCTCTGGGGCCCCTGATGGATCCTGTCCTGGGGTACGAGGGCCAGAGAGGATGGTCCACGGGCCTGGGGAGAGTCAGAAGGACATGAGACTCCAGCTCAGCTGCTTAGTAACCATATGGACTTTGCTTTTCTGTGGCTCCATCTGGAATGTGGGGGGAAGAGCACCTGTTTCTCAGGACTGTAAACAGTCCTGAAGGCCGAGCAGCATTCTACTTGGCCATGGCCACCACTCAGGGCACGAGAGACATGTTCTTATCACCCCCTGTCATGCTGAGCCCCAGGACACGTGGCGCAGTAGAAAGGGTGTGGATTCTGGAGACAGTACCTCTATAAAAACTTGACTTCTCTATCTCAGTTGGGGGGCACCTTCTGACTTTGAGCCCAGTGTCCTCTTCTGGGAAGCAGGGGTGACAGTGCCCGGATGGCAGGCTGGTGGGAGAAAGTGTGCACAGCATCACCAGGGCGTGCTCACGGAGTGAACTCCTGACCCTGGGCACCCTGGGGGCCCCACCTGTGCAGTGCTTCTCGGGAGTTTTGTCATCTCTGCTGGGAGTCAGATTGGAGGTGATGATGAGGAGATGATAGGAGGGGGAGCCCAGGGCAGTGGGGGATGAGCAAGTGAGAACGTAGGTAGGAGGAGGTCTGGAGACAAAGCATGGACAGGTGGTCTCGGAGCTGGGCAGCCCAGGGGTTAGGGGCAGGAGACTTGGCAGGGAACCTGCTTATGGTGGAGGCCCCTCTGGCAGCTGCTGGGCCCCAGTGACCCATGTGGGGGGCAAGATTCTCATAGCCCCACAGACAGGACAGAAGCCTCGAGACCAGAGAGGACTCGCAGGGGGCTGAGGGAAGTAACTGCCAGTGCAAGGCTGGACCCAGGCCACCGAGTTGGACCTTGGGACTCCCTGGCCCAGCTGGTCACCTGCAGGGCCAAGCTTCCGTTGTGGGGAGCGCCTCTCCTCAAGAATCCAGAGCCCACATCCATGCTCCTCACAATTACCAGCCTTAAAAGAGAAAGGCCTTTGTTTCCTCTAATGTCCCAGTAAAGCTCCTTCTCTGCTGAAGTCAGAGAAAGGAATTTGTGGTCCCCTCTGCCAGGAAAGCTTAGAGGATCAGGAGGGAGAGAGGAGTTCTGATTGGGCCGGTGCTGCACTGTTGCAGGGCACCACTTCAATCCAGCCCTTAGGAGAGAAGGTTCTAATTACCCCGTTCTAGGGATGGGGGCTGGAGAGGAGGTAGCTGAGCTGAGGTTGCACTCGGCCTGTGTGCTTGTGCTTGGGGCTGGGGTGGGGAGGGGCCCAGTGAGCCTGGTAGAGCTGTGACAGCTAGTTCATCTCTGCAGAGGGGTGTGGGGGGTGTGGGGGGACCCCTCCTCTCCTGGTGGTGCCCAGTTTCCCTAACCTCAGGACCTCTGCAGCAGGGAACATTCTGGCCTGTGCTCGGTGCTGTCCTTGTCCTCTAGTCCATAGATGAGAAATGGCGCTCAGATTGTGACCTGCTGCTAGAGCTCAGCGCGTGACCCCACATGGTCCATGGGTGATCAGCCAGCCTCTATCAAGCAGGTCACCTGGACTGAGTTGGGCCAAGGCCCCACCCAGGCAGTCACCTCCAGCCAGCAGCCTCCCCCAGAGGCCTGGCCCTGCTCCTACCCCAGGGGTGGGGGGACTCCCTACCCTAAGCTGTGAAGAATAGACTTGCTACACACTGAACCACAAAGAAAAATCAGGGACTTCAGCCTGTGGCACTTTGGCACCTGTAACTGATGCTTTTCTGGCTGGGCAGGGAACCCCGCCTAGGGCCTCTCACAGCTGAGGGTCCTTGGGTGTGACCTGGACCTGACCCAGAGAAGGGTGCAGTCCCCAAGCCCTGGTGAGCCCCTGCATTTTGCCGGCATGCAGATGCACACCGCTCCAACATCTGGAAGGGAGACCTGGAACTTGGCTGGCATAGACTGATGCTTGACCAGAAGCCAGACCTGCAACCTCAGCCCTTGCTCAGGCTCCCTGGAGCCCACAGGCCTGGACTCCTGGAGGGGAAGTGAGTCCCAGCCTCAGCTACGTCTGCATCCCTGCCGCCAGGCTCCACTTTCATTCCTTCCATGCTAGCTGAGCACTGACTGCACCTCGTCCTGAGAGGGAAGAGGTGGGCAGGAGCCACCTGCCCCGCCTGGACCCCTGGGGAGGCACATCTGGGATCACCCTTCTTGGCTCAGGGCACACAGCCTCATATCCTGGGTCTGGGTCTTGAGCCTGGATCCAGGTCTGCCTCCAAAGCCAGTTGCTTCCTCCCTGGTGTGCAAAGGGGGATCAGGGAGGCGCTGGTCCCAGGGGCTTGTGAGGGCTCAGGCTGTCCCTACAGTCACGTGTGGCTGCATGACAGGGCTGTGCTCCAAGGAATGCATCCCTAGGGGACTTCGTTGCACCTGGGTGACAGCACCCACGTGCATCTGGGTTCTTTGGCACAGCCTGTGGTACCCCACACAAGACTGCAGGGAGGATCAGAACTGCAGGGGCTGGCACAGACAGACCATCACGGTCACACCTGATGGAGCTTGCTTCTTCCACTGTCTGCGGAGGGCCTGGCCTGGGCTCACTGCCCACCTGTCTCCCTGGGACCACATGTGCTGAAGTCATCGGGAAACTTGTTTATAGGTACGGAGGCTTCTCCCTGCCTGTCTCTCACTCCCCTCCCGCCCCCAACATTCATTCAGTTACCAAGTCCCAAAGATCCTGACTCCCTCACTTCTCCGCCTTCTGGTCCTGTTTCCACTGCCTCTTGCGTCTGGCATCTGTCCTGGACACCTTGACATCCGTTCACCTAACTCCCTCCTGCTGGACGAAAACGCTGCCCTGTGAGGAGCGGGCCTCGGAGATCCCAGTGGGCCACTGCTCTGTTTAGCCCCAGGCGCTGGCTCCCTGTAGCTCTCGGCCAGAGTTCGCCTCCCCAGGAAGGCAGTCGGGGGCCTCTTTCCAGGTCTGGGGCTGCTGTGCTCTCCGCTCGGCTCTCACCTAGCCTGTTGTCCTCTGTCTCCTGCAGTCCTAGCTGCTCTGCCCTCTTCTTGCTCTGGGACTGCAGTTGACTCCAGCCCTTCTGCCTGGGTGCCTGCCGCTTGCTGAGCTGACGCTCAGGGAGGGCATGGCTGACTCCAGCAGATCCTCCTGGGTCCCCTCTCCAGCCTGGTTTCTTGCCCCTCCTCAGGGCTCCTGTGGTATCTAAGCTTACAGAGCTCATGTCAGTGCACGCCACAAACCTCCACTCCACAGAGCACTCCTCTGTGCCAGGCATGGTTCCAGCTGTGACCCCTGCGGGGTGGGTCCGCTTCCTCCTCACCTCCTGGAGGGATGGGGGGGCTAAATGTTCTTTGCCTGTGTCATGCGTGTGACTGTCCATAAGTGATTATTGGATGCTGCATGCCTTTCAGGCACTGTGATTGGTGCTAGGGAGCAAAAGCACATTTGACGGGGAGAGAAGATAATTTAGGGGGTAGGGGAGTCAGCAAACCAAACAGTTAGGCCACTGCTTTTGGGTCAGAGGCATGGGTTCAGATCCTGAATCTGCCTTTTCTTAAGCAGCATGACCCTGAGAGCATATTAACCTCTTTGCTTCAGTTCCATACAGAAAATGGGCTTATAATCGGCTTCCTCAATTTGTCAGGAAGGTTGAAATTGTTAATATTTATAAAAGACTTTAGAACTGTACCTGTTATATACTAACCAGTTTGTAAGAAATAAATAATCTTGAATGCACAAATGAGTAATACAGAATCTAGACTGAATATAGACAATCTTGGATTCAAATCCTACCTCTGCCAGGTCCTAACTATGTAACCCTGGGAAAGGTGTGGAACCAGGCTGAGCTAAGGTTTCCTCTGTGAACTGAGATACTAATACATACTTTAGCTTAGGGGCTCCCACGACCCCCTGACCCCCCCTTCCTGCCCCCCCCCCCACAGGTCCTGCCCTGCACAGTCCGGCACAGAGCAAATGCTCTGAAAAGCAAAAGCAAGATTCCACCCTCGAGGGACTCATGGCCCCCCAAAGAGAATGAAAACCTTGGACTCTGCTAACTGCTCAGATGCCACCTCCTCCAGGGAGCCTCCCTTGAATCCCTTTTTGAACATCAGTGTTTGTCTTTCTGCCTCTTTCTGGTGCTGGAGCTACAAATAACTCTAGTTCTGAAAATGATTAGCTGTGTGGCACTGGGCCTTCGCTTCCCTTCTCTGAGACTTATTTTTATGGGTCTTCAAAGGAGGTGAAATCACCTTCAGCAGCATATCTTTGTAGGAAGCAGATCATGGCAGACAGAGTCTACAAATCACCACATGCTTGCCTGGCAGTTTGTGGGGCCCAGGAAATGCAGGTTCCTGTTTCCTCCCCCTCGTCCTGCCAAGGTCTCTGCCTGGCTTGTCAGTTCATTCCAGAGGTTGATTTAACTGTGTAATTCCCGGACAGGCAGGTAAAGACTCCGTGGATAAACAGAAGGGCGAATGAATGGGAAGTGGCCCCTTGCAAGACCGGGGGTGGACGGGTGGACGAGCATTCTCTGGGCCTGCACAGGCATGATTTAAGCCTGCCCTCTGCCCCCTTCCTCATACCCACCATCTCAGGGCCTTTCACAAGTTGGAATGTCCCTCCCTCCTCTCCCTGCCTGGCTAATTCTGCCAGAAGGACGTTGTTATCTCAGCTCCAGGGTGGCTTCTTCAGGGAAACTTCCTGGCCAGCTGGCCCCGGCCCCCATACCAACCCAGGGTTAGACCAGAGTCGAAGGTCAGAGCTTAAGCACTTCAAAGTTATAATTTGACATTTCTCTGGGCCTCGTTTTCACTAAGGTTACCCCTCCAAGGGTGTGGCCTGGGGAGCAAGGAGGGTATGTGTCCGTAGCTCCCCAGCCAGCACCGTGCCTGTCACAGATGGGCTGGAGAATCAAGATTTGCACTTTGCGTGTGAAGAACCACATCTGCTGCTTGGTTACATCTGTGCCAGGTCCCTGCTCTGCCTGCCCAGATGCTGCCGGGGCCCTAGACTAAGTCCGCTGCCCTCGCGCCCCCAGGGGCTAAGCGGGGTGGCCTCTGGCATACCTCGGTCACAATGGAGTGGCTGGCGCTGATGTTGTAGACCCAGCCGTCCAGACAGCGTTCGGTGGCCACTTGGGTGCTGTTGGACAGGCTGGCGTTGGGTGGGTAGACGAAGCGGAGGCACGGCTCAGGCTTCCCGTTCGGGCTGGTGGGGAGCACCCAGGGCCCCGCAGAGGCGTTGGGGGGCGGGCGGCAGTGGTGGGTGGGGGTGACGGCCGTGAAGATCTGCAGCAGGTTGTGGTTGGCCATCCCGAGGATCGGGAGGCCCAGCAGGACCATGTTGAGGATCTGGAAGGGGCCATTGCTGCCCACACGGTCCACCAGTTCAGTGAAGGTCATGGTGCTGGGCAGGAGGAGCCAGAGCTGTGGGCAAGGGATGATGCCAAGGAGAGGTCTGTGTGTGCTTGTGTGGGGTGTTGGCATGTGGGTGGGTGGGGGCCCGGGGTGTGCACCTGCAGGTGCAGGGGGGCAGATGTGGGTGCTGGGCTGGAGTGGGTGGTCGAGGCTCCCCCGCTCGATGTGTGCGTGTGGGCAGGAGCGTGTGGGCCACTGGGTGCATACAGGTGTGTGGCTGCATGCCTGGGGCTGTGCAGGACACTCCTCGGACCTTGGCTGCACAGGATGGATGGCGAGGGCAGCCTGTTGGGTGGCCTGGGGCGAAGAGCCCCCGAGCCCAGGGCTTTCTGGCTTCTGGACATCCTCCAGGGCTGGGCCCAGCCACTGGGGTGGCAGAAGGGGCCACAAGGGGATAAGGCTCTTGGTCAGCCACCGGAGGAAGCCGGGCTGGGCTTGGGGGCTTCCCAGGGGCCTCTCGGGGCTGGGACCTGGGGGGCGTTCTCCCTCACCTGTTGGCGGGCCTGGCTCCCTCTGGCTGGTGGGCGAGGTGGTCGGAGCACTCGCCTGTCCAGTGCTGTCCGGCAGCTGCTGTAGTTGGGCAGCCTAGCTCTAGCCGGCAGTGTTTGCGCCTTCCCCAGGGGGCTTATATAAGGCATAAGCTGCTCCCCAGGCTAATGTTTGACTTTCCTTTGAGGATTAATGGCACCGGCAGAGCTGCTCTGGACCCACCAAGCCCAGCTTTCTCAAAAGGCTGCCTCAGCAGACTGGGGTGGTAGCATGGCGCAGCTAGTGGGGCTCCCCATATGGACAGAGGTGGGGGTGGCACAGGTAGGCGCCCCGAAGGAGTCTAGCCGGAGTCCTGGGGCCCAGGCTCACCTCTGAGCTGATGTTATAAGGCCTGGAGCTGAGAGCAGCCCAGGGCAGGGATGCTGGTGCCTGCAAGCAGAAAATGGCCCCCAACTTCCCCCTGCTTGGTGCCTCCTGAGGAGGCCCCAAGACTTGCCTCCCAGGAAATGGGGGGACCCACCCAATGTCAGCCTCATAGCATCTGTCCTGGAGTGCTCAGTGCTGTCACCCTGGGGCCCCGGGGCAGCTAGGTGTCTCCTCTGAGTCTCAGACCCTGAGGAACACCCCTTCCTGTCTGCTCTCAAAGGACAGGATTTTCTGATTGTTTTTCCCCCCTCTCTGGACAAATTGCAGTTCCTATTTTGTTTTTTCTTAGAATATTGTTTTTAATTACATGCTAATGTGCATTTCTGGCATTAACTACTGGCACGACAAACAGCCAACCACCAACAACCCCCCCCCGCCGCCCCTCCCAACCTCTCTACCCCCCTCTGCCCCCCCACCCCCCAGTGTCAGGTGAGCGCTAACCCCGAGATGTTCTGGAGGCTTTCCTCCAGTCCCTTCTGTCCTCAGCTGTATTGACACCCTCACTTTCTAGGCTCACCTGAGCTGCACAGCAGCCCTGTCACTTAGGAGCTGGAGACACAGAGAAGTTAGGTGACTTGTCCACAGTCCCCCAGCTGGTGGGGGTGGGGTGGCTCTAAGTCCCCCTTGCAATATTTTCCGTAAAGTGTAAGGGACATGGTACCTCTCCCTAACAAGGCCATGTTGCTGGGCTCCAACCACGCTCTTGGTAGCCATTAGCTTTCTGGTTCTAACTCAGGGACACACTATCCCACCAGCTCTGTGGACTAGAAGAAAGGGGGTTCGGAGGGACTCCCATTCTCTCCTGGGCCCCTTCCTCTAGCAGCGCAGCATCCAGGCCCCCTCCTCCCAGCACGGGCTGGGCTCCTCCGCCTGAGGGCTCCTTGGTTTCCCTCCCTAGCACACACCCCAGGGCAGGGTCAGCTGGTAACAGGGGCCTAGGCCTGTCCTCTCAGATCCCCACCTGGGCCCAGCAGTCATTGATGTTCTCAGAAGGGCCCGAGGCAGGGTGAGATCCGGAGTCATCAAAGGAAGATTAAATTAAGCTCCAAGCAGCCAAGGGGTTGTTTTAGGAAGGTTTTCGACTGTGAGGCTTGCAGTGAGAGGGCTGCTGGGGCCCAGCCCCCGCTCTGGACGCTGGCCCTCTGCAAGGTTTTCCGGTTCCTACGGGGCCGGCTGGCCGTTTGTTTCTGTTCTAGTGGAATGTTGTTTCAAGGAGCTGGTGACTTCTCACCAAAGCTGCTGGGGTAGAGCCAAAGTAGAGGTGTCCCAGCTGCCTGGCGGGAGGCCCCGTGCCCAGCCCCCAAGGATGTGCTTGGATTTCTGATATCTGAATTGAGGAGTTCTGTTGGCCTATCTGTGGGAGCGGAGTCGTGGTGTGTGACCTTGGGCACATTGCCTCCCTCTGGGCCTGTTGTTTCTCTTCATTATTTAAGTGACTTAAAAAAAAAAAAAAAACCCAACTGAAACCAACCAGAAAACTTTTATCCAAACAATATATGGTGTTCATGAGATTAATATATAAAGCAGGCAAGAGGCGGCGCTTTGACTAAGGTGGGGATGGGGGGAGGAGAGAATGTGACCAGCGGCCTCCCGCCTCCCTGCCGCTCACCAGTCTGCTAAGCATGTCCTGGTGCCCTTCTGCACAGTATTAGAGAAGCCATCACCTGCTCTAGGCAGGATCCTAAATTCAACATTTAAAATGAACTTTTAAAATTTCTTTTCAAGAAATGATACATATGGGAATCTTATATCCAAAATGCATTTTATTTATTAAAAAAAAAGATTTATCTATTTATGCATACAGAACTGGGGTACAGACCAGAGGTGCAGGGGCGGCGAGAGTCTTCACCAGAGACAGAGTGGGGAGCAGAACAGGCAGATCGACGAAGTACACTGCTGAGGGGAGCAGAGCAGCGGGCGAGGCAGGGGAGGTCTGCCACGCCATGTGGTCACCTCTGGGGTCGGGATTGAACTCGCACTGAAGCCGCTGTGGCCAGCTTGTAGTGTTGCGCGCTAGCTCGTTGCACTACCAGGGAGGGCCCCCCTAAATGCATTTTAAATTTGGGACTTGGAAATAGATTTTCTTCCTTCCTCCCTCCCTCCCTCCCATCTTTTCCTCTCTTCCCTTCTTTCTCTGTCCCTCCCCTTCATCCACCCATGCATCCTTTCTCTCATCAATCTATTTTTCTTCCTCCCATCCATCCATGGATCCATCCACCCATCCACCTGTCCATATGTCCACCCATCCATCCGTCTACCCATCTCTCTCATCTATCCTGTCCACCCACCTACCCACGTCTCATCCATTCTTCTGTCCATCCAGTGCCTGAGGCCCTGAGAGGCTACGACACCGGCCATACCCTCCTTGCTTGTTAGAGAAAACAGCAGTCCAGGAATAATTGCAGCACAACCAAGATTGACTTCGGTGCCACAGGAGAGGCTCACAGAGTTCCAGAGTCCTCAAGCGAGGGTGAGAGTGACTGGTCTGAGGGATCAGATCAGGATGGGCTACCCAGAGAAAGTGGTATTTGCACTGAACTTTGATGATTGCCAGGGGCTCAACAGGCGAGGAGCAGGGTATCTATAGATTCAGAGTTGTGAATTCAGGGCTTGCTGGGGAAATGGCAGATGAATGGGATGGACTTGGGTGGAACTTCTCTTCTCACCCAGGATGGTGGCTTTGATCTTGACCTAGGACACTGCGAGAATCGCAGAGGGGCTGATGGGGGCTCTCCCTTGGGGAGAATCCTGAGGGAGTCCTCTGAGGGGGACTGGGGGTGTCCTGCAGCTAGAGGCCAGCCTGCTGACTCATGATCAGTGGTACCTAAACTTTGTGCAGAGTCCAGCAAGGTCTCTTGGCCCTGGTAAAGGTCTGACATGCTGGGTGGGCCAGGTGAGCCTCAGGTGCCAGGAGCTAGCCTTCCTGGCGGCCACGTTAAGCCCTCAGCCCTCTCCATGCGGTAAGGGTCCCGGATTCCGCCCCTGCCCTGAGGTGGCGCTAACAGAATAGGGGTCTTGTGGGGGGTAGTTTGAGGTGGTACCAGGGCAAAGGCTTTGTCCTCTGCCCTTGAACCAAACCTCCTCCTGCCTCCAGGGGCTGATTCTGAATCTGCCCTTATGGGATCAAGACATTCAGGGAAGGGGGTTTGAATCCTGACTCCAGGGCTTGTTAGATGGGTGACTCTGGGCCAGTGATATCTCCAGGTTAAGCCTTTATGCCCCCACTTGTAAAATGTAAATTAACATTGACCTTTTAAGATTGTTGGGATTCAAAGCATACCAAGCCCAAAACAGTGTGCGGGGCCCAGAAGAAGAGGAGCAAGAGAAGGCTGCCAGAAGAAGGGAGAGTGAGAAGGTGCCCTTTGTCCTACAGGAGGGCCGGCACAGCCTGGGACTATGTTAAGGTGAGTCCCTGACCTCTCGAGGCCTTCCCGGGGCACCTGGAGGGTGTCTTGGCCCAGCCGACTCCATCATGTTGCCAGGCAGCCTAGGTCACAGCTGTCACCTAGGTGGGAACAGGCGGGGATACAGGATGTTTGGGGTCGTGCTCCAGTAACCGCAGGTGGGCAAGCCGGGCAATGGCGCCGTGAGGCAGCGCGGTGGGAATGGCGGGGAGAGTCGCCCCCTGCTGGTTCCCACAGGAACTGCGTCCTCCTCGCGAGTGAAAGCGGCGGGGTACAGCCCGCCCTCCCCACCTGCCCTGGGGGCCGGCACAGGGAACCGATTTCTCTGGATTCGGCACCCCCTGCAGGCTGGACAGCTGCCAGAAGAACTTGAGGGGAGGAGCTCAGTATGCTTCTCCTTAGCTGAAGGCTGATGGAACGGATGCCACGCTCGCCGGTCTCCGTGTCCCTGGCATGGCTTTCTGCTCATCAGGTGTCTTAAGCCACATTAAGGGTTTTGCGGGCGACTCAGAGCCCACGGGTGGCCCCGCGTCAGAACAGCCAGAGCACCGTCCAGTGGGAAGGGGGCAGCGGCCGCCCAGCAGCTGCGGCGTTGCCATGGGGACGTGTAGGCTCCGGGTTGCCAGATTTTCAGATACTTTAAAAATAGCTTGAAATCTGGACTTTTGTGCGATATTTTCCAATTCTGTGGGCGACCCCTCCTCCCACCTTCTGGAATTCCTTTGTCTTTTTGCTTCTCCCACCTATGGGAGCCACCAACTCTACCAGGTGATTCCTTGTCGAACCAAGTAGGGTTCCTTGGGTTTGTCCTCAACATCTGCCTTACTGGACTCAGGTGTTGGTAGCTTGCTCATTTGGCAGACACACATCCAGCACCTGCTTGGGGCTGGGCCTTGCCTAGGAAGGCGGCAAGGTGGGTGGAAATGAAGAAAACACAGTGCTTGGCTTTTGGGGAGTGTACTCACAGAGCCCTGGGTGGGAATGGAGGGGACAGGCCTCATGGAGCCTGTGCCAGGCTCCCCAAGAACCCCTCCCCACAGCCTTCCCCAGGGACAAGCACAGGTTCTCCTGTCAGAACCACAGAGGCAGAACCTGCCTCTGTATGATCACCCACGACCTCACCCTACTTTGGGACCCCTCAGCCTCATCTGAGTCAGCTCACACTCACTGCTCCCGAGGTCAGCTCTCACTCGGATCCTCAAACTGTCACCTGCTCAAAGAGGCCCTCCCAGACCGTGCCAGTAACTTCCCCAGCTCTA